CTTACTGTACACTGGTCTCAATTCTCCTATTTTCTAATGCCATTTCTTCCACCCTCACCTAATCTATCTGCCACAAGATATGGAAAGGTGCAATGGTCAATTTCAATATCATGTATAACATGCTATAAGTGATTATCTTGCAGGCATTTTTTAAAATCTGAAGCTATTTCAAATTAGTTTTTATAAACAATCTGTGCAGCATATATCAAAGCCAAAAGCTCTAAAAGCAGCCACTGACTCTGGGTACCATATTTCTGAGTTGCTCCACCTGAGACAACTTGGACTTTGCCCAAGTGTTGAGCACCACCATTCCAGATGGTCAGTGTGAACTGCAGGTGCTCAGACCTTCTGAAAATCAGCCCAAAGTGTTTAAGGCTGGTCACCAAAACGTGAGATACCCCAAATTAGTGACCAATTTTGAAAATGTGGGCTCAGCTGTTGTTTACACTGACTGAGAAAACATCCTTGTAAAAATCCCCTTCTGCCTCAAATCTAAAGAAACCATTTTAAATAAAAATTCAGAGGCGAGTGGGTTGATATAGCAATAATAAATAAAGTATTAATAATAGAAAAATCACCTTTCATCCTGACAGACCCCAAAGCATTTTTACAAATTATGGATTAAATTCAGGCCCTACATATTTTTGTGGCACTGATGGGCTGCAAACTTAGGAAAAATGTCCACACAAATGCTGCCTGTCAGCCCTACATGGAATAGTACCCTCCCGATACCTCTTATGCAAGATTATTCCTGCTAAAAGTAATCTGACCAAGATGTAGGGCAGCTGAGACAGGCAGCATACATGCTACAACATGTTGGCCATGTCCCCTGACCACTACCTCCACCTCAAAACACCCGCTCTGGGGCTGCAAGTGACTGGCAGACCATTAGTTGCACCCTGCATGGGAACTCTTTTCCCCTCTGTGCACATATCATTTTACCTGGGGTGGAACACAGCAGCTCTTTAGCAGCACACAGCAGTATAAGAGCAGAAGTAACAAATGCCCATATAAAACTAAAATGTTAGATACCCAGAATGTAATTATTTAAATTGAAATCTGTCCAGGAAAACGGATTAACACTTTAATTCTTATGTACAAGGCTAAGGGATATTTGATAATAATAGGGTGACCTTCAGTTCTATCCCTCATTTGAAGGAAAGATGCTTGGGCAATCAGTCCAGTAGTGACTTGGAGGAAAATGTGCCAACTACACAAAGTCATTAATACCATTTCCTGAAATGCTGGGGTTTCCTTGGATCTTTCCTCATTCAAGGACTGACCAGATCCTACTTGATGAACTCACAATGTACCTAAAAGAGCTAAAACTTTGGTTACCACTATGGTACCTCTCCAAATGTCCCCATAAGTCTTGGGAAAGTGCATAAAACTATAAAAGCTCTTCAACAGTGTGGAGACAGAGGGAATCCTCCAGCTCAAAATGGCTTCTCTAGTGATTATTATTAGGCTTAGCAGAATTTGATTTTTATTTTTTTCTAATTTTGACAATTTTAAATATCCCCCCTCCATTTTTATTTTTACAGTTATGGGAGGTAGGGTTGGGGTTAGGGCAGTGCTGACAGCAGGGCTGCAGGGGTTCATTGTGCGGCCGAGGGGCCCAAGACACTGGGGCGCAAGGTGCGGGGGAGACACATCTATACAGCCCTAAGAGAGTGAAACCAGGTTTTCAGTTTGGACTTTAGGCATTATGGTCATTTCCTCTCATCACATAACATTTCTTAGAGTTAACCTTCATAGGTCAATGCCCTCATAATTTTGCCATTCTTAACAAACCTGTTCCTCGGACGTTAACTGCCTCTAGTTAGACAGTAGTTAAGTGGTGCACAGCATGGGCTTCTACTCTGCAGAATAATTAAAAAAAAGTTTATCCCCTTCCCCCCCAAAATCAGACTCTTTCAAAATCATTCTCTCTCGCTCGTTTATTTTTAACATCCTTCTAGAAACAGTGTTTACAGTGACTCTGCTTCAGAGACAAGGAGCTAGAGCCATAGCAAAAATATGCATCCCGCTCCCAGCTACCCATCTGCTGTAATGAGAACACAGCAATAGCTGTACCAGAACAGACATTGGTCCATCTAGCCCGATAACCCATCTCCATCAGTGACCAAAGTCAGAAGTATTTAAAGAAGGCATCAAACACTGGAATGTTCCTCGAGCTATATCATGGGGGGGGTCAGTTTATGCCCTGAATTATGAGGGGAATAGCCCTTGTAATGTTTAGCCTAGCTAGTGTCACTGCAGATTCTATCTGTATTTGTATGTATGCCTAATACATTTTTTAAAAAATATTTGAAATGAAAGTACCAATATAAAATGTAAAATAAGGCAGTATTGTCTAGTTGTTAAAGAACAAGATCAGGAGTCAAGGTACTGAGTTCTCTTCTCAGCCTGGCTACTGATTTACTGCGTGTCCTTAGACAAGCCATTTCACTGCTGTGTGCCTCAGTTTCCTCATCTGTCAAATGGGGGTATTAATATTTACCCACCTTTGTAAAGCACTTGGAGATTTTAGGATAAAAAGCATACACAATGAGTACAAAAGGTTATTATAATATAGCGTCCACTGGAACTAAGGGGTAATGGTAATGGAAATGCACGCTTACTAGGACTGACGAAAAATTAAGTTGAATGAGCAAAGAAGTCTCCTTTCTATAGCTCTCAAGTGTGCTGCAAAATTAAAGATTCTGAAAGAAAGCATGGGATTTGTGGGGCTGTACATAAATTGATTGGACTGTGTCTGCGGCCATGCATGATCCTCCAGTCAGGCAAATGAGGATGATTATACGCTTCATACCATTTTAATCAGCTGAAAGTGGGCTGCCAAGTTAGGTTTCTTTTAAACCACAACCAAGGCCTGGAGAGAAGGAAAAATGGGAGAGGAGGACAGTAGTCTTAACACAGTTAAAAAAAATCCCAAATATCTGGAAGGATCAAGAGTAGCTAATACTACTATGTGAATGGCAACACATTTGGCACTGTTTGGGTTACTGTGGTAACTTCCAGTGATTATGTACATCAGAGATGGAATATGAGGGTAGATAAGGGAAATCAATATTTGGACGTGAATCACACTCATCTAAACCAGCAGAAAAATTCAAGGATAGGAGCATTATACAGGAAAGAAATGGGAAGAAGGGATGGAGAATTATTTTCATTCTGCCCAGAAATAACAAGAGAGTCAGAAGACACTGCCTCCAGCTAAAAGTGTAACAAAACAAGACAAAGCAGCTGGCTGGGGGGAAAGACATTCTTACTGTCTGAAAAGAGAGAAGCAATAAAACAGCAAGATGGACAACTGAGATGAGCAGCTGAGGCACTGGCTACTAGGAGATATTCAAAACTTTGAATTGGCAGAGCGAGGGACAATTTTTATCTTGCACAGGAACATCCCTCAAACTGAATCATTTTAAGGAGTAGAAGGATTCTAGATAAAATACTATTAGATTTAGAGGGGCTATAGTCCACCTAGCCTTCCCGTCCAAAGCTTTCCTGTTCTGCTACTTACACAAATGATAGTAACACATAGTTGTATGGAGGGTTGTTTTAGCTCTGTTGGTGCCAGGGTATTAGAGAGACATGGTGGGTGAGGTAATATCTTTTATAAGACCAACTTCTGTTGGTGAGAGAGACAAGCTTTCAAGCTTACACAGACCTGAAGAAGAGCAAGAGAAGTTGGTCCAATTAAAGGTATTACCTCACCCACCTTGTCTCTCTAGTAACACACAGTGGCTAGCACTATGACACAAGAGTTCTGTTCTGCACCCACAAACCTACCTAAATTCCCTTACCTGGTGTGATTGCCAAGGCTGGATTTAAGAAAGGTAGAAATGCAAATTAAAGTCAGTGTAAATGAAAACCTCAGGTCTGCGTTAGGGGGCCAGGGACGAGCTTTGCTTCCCTGGACCTACATTGTAATAATAAGGAACGTGCTTTCCCCACACCTAGCCCCTGATCCATTTCATCTGTACCCCACACCATTCATTTACCAGCAACCTGGCCAGTAGGGAAATGTTCTTTTCCAGACAAATGTAAATAACAAAATTGTTCCCACCGTTGGTGCTGAAAGACCGTTTGGATTTTTTTTTTTTTTTTTTATTAATTTTTCTTCTGATGAGAGATGCTGGATTAAAGTTTGGAGACTGAAGTCCTCCAGCTGTTCCCAGAATCGGCATGCCACATGGGCAAAGCAGTGTGAACTTTCTCCTCATACACTACCATCACCATGTGCCTCAACCCTGCCCTGAAAGGACAGTGCCTCTTAATAAATACAGCATGTAGCAATTACAGCACTTTGAATCTCCAAAATGCTTTACAATTATTGACTAATTAATCAGGAGCGAGAAGTTGGGGTGAATTTTAAATGGCCCATTCACACCTTGGCTTCTTTGCGGAGATGGCCCTTATTGTCAATGATGATGGCGGTTCTGTTATGTAGGAGTTGGAGTTCCCCAGCTCATGTCACAGGATACTACAAAGTATGGATGTTCTATTTGTGGGGGCAGTTCAGACAATAGTGCCAAAACTCTGGCTGCAGGGGGCATCCAGCTCATGGAGGGTCCTATCCCAGCCGGGATGCTCCAGTGGAGTATTTTGTAGAGAATAGCTGCTTTGTGCTGACTGAGAGCGCTATCAAGATAACTTTAAGCCCCTGGGGAATCTGGATGTTTTCCCTTTTATCACAGCCTTGACTGAAAGACAGTGCAGTATTTTTCCCCTTCTGATTTAAAGGAAATCTCCTACCCCTATTCTTCCAACACTCTCAACAAATACACACACCAGTTCTGGACACATTCCCATCCCTCTCCAAACTGGCAGAGTTAGAAGTTTGATGCAAGTGTGGCAGATGCATAAACAAACTGAATCTTGGGCCTTACTGCTGGGGTGTCAGTTGCATAATGTTGCAAAGGGCCCCAGACTCACTTGAACTGGCACCATTTGTTGTTAAAGAACTGAAAGCAAATGTTGTAATAGTCACATACCTTTGAGAGTAGGGAAGGCTGAGAAAGAGTCTTTGCTTTGCTTCTGGTTGTTATATTCCAGACTTGCAGAATCTAAGATGAAATAAAATGATATTGAACAGTCTGCACTTCATAAAGCCAGCCAGTTCTTGTCTTCAGATTAAGCGCTTACCAAGGGTCGATGCTTGTGGAGCCATTCAGGACCATACAACAAACCTTTCACCCCGTGCACCCTCCCCTCTTCACCATGACGTTCAGCCAATCAGGCAGTCATGTGCAAACCACAAACCACGCAGGAACTAGCAGACACGACAGCTCACAGCCCTGGTCGTGGAGCTTAGTTAGCTTAGTATGGTTTTGTTTTTTCACTGCCAGGACTAAACTGATATCATAGGAGTTTTAGCGAATGCTACTGCAGTTCTGTGCTCTAGTTGCATTTAATGCATTCTCCTGTGCACCCCAAGACCTACTTACTGCTTTGGGTTTGAATTTAGGACTGACAGGTCCCGAGTCTCCTTTTTGAACCACGTGGGGCTATTAAAATTTAGCCCGATCACCTCTCATTCAAGTCAACAACATGGCAATGTGATAGCTACACTGTCACCAACATTCTAATCTGTGGGTATGTCTACCACCAAAACTCCCCCTTTGACTTGATACCATCCATCATATATATATATATATATATATATATATATATATATATGTGTGTGTGTGTGTGTGTGTGTGTGTGTGTGTGTGTGTGTGTGTGTGTGTGTGTGTGTGTGTGCGCGCGCGCATATGCCTCCGTTGAGAGAGTGAGAGAACTCACAGGCAGCTCTGAGGCAAGGGGAGCACACCGCTGTGAGAGGGATAGGTGGGTGGAAAAGCAGCAGCACTATAGACCAAGATTTTAGCAACCTCTGAAATGAGTGTGACTTGGGATGTGTGTTTTGGCTGCGTGCAAGGGGGTGCAAAGCTCTCATTTCCCGTAAGTGGCGGTCTAGTTGGGAAAACACGTTAATTCATTTATCAATGCATCAGTTCAGGCACTGGGGGAGGGGTTATTGTGTTAACTTGGAGATCTGCATGAGGGGATTGAGATCTGGAGGAGACAGCAGTGGTGACTGTCCAAGGTTGGTGCTATGACCTCTCCACACCTTTGAATTTCACTTTTGTTTAGACTCTGAAATGTTTATGGATTAAAAAAAAAAAGTATAAAAATTGTAAAAATAAAACTAAAACCATAAAAAAGGCAGGGGGAAGCTTTCCTCTTGTATTAGGGAGGCTTGAAAATCTATTGATTGCTGAAATTAAGGGGTGGAGCCTAGCAGAGGTTGAAGGTCTGTCAGTCAAATGTTCCCCTCCCCACCCCACCATTACAAAATGTGGCAGAGCTGTCCCTGCTCCTTTCAGCAGGATTCCCAGGGCTCGTAAGGCAGAGGAGTAGCTAGAATTCTGATTGGATGTGAAGAAGGGGTGGGGCTTGGAAGGTGATTGACAGCTGCTTTGAATGCAAGATGAGGGGAGAACAGTGGGTACGAGCATTCTGATTGGAGGAGGACAGGGAGAGGCGGGCCTTTGCAGCTGATTGATGGCAGTTTGAATTTTAAGTGGGAAAACGATGCCTACCGGTCGCTACTGCTCAGTTTTCCTCAGGTAATGAAGGTGGGGTGCGAGCCCAGCAGTGTGAAGCCTCTGCTTGGGCCTGTGTGTGCCCACGAACCCCGCTGCCCTCAGCCAGTTAACCCCACTCGTTAATGAGAGCGGGGCGGGGCCTCTCCCTGTTTAAAGCTTGTCTTGCCCCTGCTGGGGCGTCTTCAGGGCCAGAGAGAGTCGCGTGCCGTGCCCTATTTTTACCTGCAGTTGTGTGTGTTGGGGGCAGGCGGGGGCATCCCCTGTTCAGGAGCCCCCCGTGGCTGCCCTCTCCTGGATGTCGCCTGCCTTCACAGCCACCCCCTCAGTGGGCCATGTTACCGGGAGCAGCCACTGATGGCAGAGGACTGGCAGGTCTAACCTTATGCTCCTCAGGGAGCGGGGCCGGATTTAGGATTGTGAGGACCTGCCCCTCCCAGGGGTTGTTTCTGGAGTGGAGAGCCCCCCCCCCCCAATACCTCCCTTCCCATCCCTCAACTCTCCTACCACACAAGGCCAGGCACAGCTCCAGCTGAGCGGTCACCTGTCGGAACACCCATCTGCCTGAAGTGGGGGTGTCCTGTCAACTATGGGCTGCCTTAAATGGCAGGTTTAATGGACCCACAGCCAGGTCTTGCTGAACTTCCAGGCAAGACACCTGCTGACATGTCTGGAAACCACCATTACTACAGTCAGGTATGGAACCTACCTAAGAACGTAGGAATGGCCATACTGGGTCAGACCAAAGGTCCACCTAGCCCAGTATCCTGTTTTCCAACAATGGCCAATGCCAGGTGCCCCAGAAGGAATGAACAGAACAGGTAATCATCAGGTGATCCATCCCTGTCGCCCATTCCAAGCTTCTGGCAAACAGAGGCTAAGGACACCATCCTTGCCCATTCTGGCTAATAGCCATTGATGGACCTATTCTCCATGAATTTATCTAGTTTTTTTTTTGAACCCTGTTGTAGTCTTGGCCTTCACAACATCCTCTGGCAAGGAGTTCCACAGGTTGACTGTGCATTGTGTGAAAAAATACTTTCTTTTGTTTGTTTTAAACCTGCTGCCTATTAATTACATTTGGTGACCCCTAGTTCTTGTTATGAGAAGTAAATAAAACTTCCTTATTTACTGTCTCCACGCCAGTCATGATTTTATAGACCTCTATCATATCCTCTCCTTAGTCATCTCCTTTCCAAGCTGAAAAGTCCAAGTCTTATTAATCGCTCCTCATACAGAAGCTGTTCCATACCCCTAATAATTTTTGTTGCCCTTTTCTGAACCTTTTCCAATATATCTTTTTTGAGATGGAGCGACCAGATATGCACACAGTATTCAAGATGTGGGTGTACCATGGATTTATATAGGGGCAATATGGTATTTTCTGTCTTATTATCTATCCCCTTTCTTAATGATTCCCAACATTCTGTTCACTTTTTTGACAGCCGCTGCACATTGAGTGGGTTTTCAGAGAACTAGCCAGTGACTCCAAGATCTTTCTGCCATAGTGAATAATCAGACCCATGGTCAACCTAGCCCAGTACCTTGTCTCTGGCAGCAGCTAGTACCAGCTTTTTCAGTGCCAGAGGAAGGTGAAAGAAACCCTGCAGCAGGCACTTATGGAATAACCTGACATAAGGAGAAGTTTCTCCCTGCTAGTGAGAGGTTGGCTTGATAGCAGGATTTAAAACTTGTACATTTTTTGTAGACTGTAAGCCAAAAAATCATTATTTGATGAAACTGAAATAAAATCATAAAAGTTCCTGAGGTGGGATCCCCAGATTTCTGGATTTCATGCACTCACTGTCACACTTGTGCTTCAGGTCTAGTTTCTAAATGGGAATCCCTTTTCAGGGCTCATCACCACTGCTCATAGCTTGGCCAAATAGATTATTGCAGAGCCACATTCAGCCTAACCTCCCAGATGCCAACAGGGGTTAAAGTGCGGTTCTCTTAGGACTCCCAGCCATTGCTGAGTTTGGGAGCAATCTGGCAGATCTGGACAAAATCAATCTGTCTCTTTCATGTGGTGGCACAGACACACTAACCACAGAGATGGCTGGCTCAGGGAATGAGAGACAGGATGCGAGAACCAAATATTGATTTTTCGATTAGTAGCACAAAAGACTAACTATGAGGTAGTTTTTTACATAGCATTATGTTTATGATATGAACTGGCAAACAACAACAAAAGACAGAAAAACAAAATCATAGCTACATCCAGTTCCTGGTCCTCAACTATTAATTTCCTGGCTTTATAGTTTAGCTTTAATGTTATTTAAATGAAATTGTGCATATCAAGTTTTCTATTTTTAGCAGGAATATATTTTAGGTTAATGATCTGGGTTTAATTATGAATAAATAATTGTTACATAGTTTTAATCAGGTACACTATTCTTTAAGAGATGACCCAGGGTGTTGAGAAAATAAGTAATTCTATGTATTTTAAAAAGCATAATATTTATTATGTAGACCTAGGAGTCCTATGTATTGTTGCTCCCAAACATTGTACTGTGATGCCGTGACCCAACATTGCATTGATTTTTGCATCCCCAATATATTTCTCGACATTTAATGTGAGCATTAGGTTTGTACTAATGCTGCCCATGATGTTCCTGTTCTGTGAATAGAAGACTTCAAGCTGTCACTCTTGAACCTTTCACTATCAGTAAACTCACTTAAAAAAAAAAAAATCTGCATGCCTAGCTTGGAAGTCATAGAACACCATGCCGATAATCAGATCAGCCCCACGGAAATCAAGATGAGTGGGGACCCAGTCCAGGAGGACAAAGGCACTGGTGCTAAGTGTTCCACTCCAGCAGGTTATGATTCTAATAGAGTTATCTAATCAACTTGTAAAAAACAGATCAATATGTGCTGCTATATAACTACTGTCACAGTGCATCAGTGCACCAAAACAAAGAAAGACACAAAGGCAAAAGAGAAATCCTGCTATGACTGAAATTTAATAGCTTCATTGAAACATTATAAAATCAGTTCTCTCTCTGCAGGAGTGAGACAGATAAAAATTGACTCCATTTGAAGTACAAACAAGAAAGAGAGGCAGGGAGTTGTAAACTATGTAGCACCCTCCTCAGAAAGATTCTTTTTTCTCTCCAGGTTCCCAGCATTTTCAGCTATCGCTCTCTACAATATCTTAATTAAACCAATATATTTTCTATTCAACTTACTTGAAGCTGTGCATACTTTGATAAAAAGGTTAATTATCTTCTTTATTTTAAAAATTGAAAAGGTAACATTTTGGTGTTTTGCTTCAAATTCATGCCTATCCCTATCCTTGTGTTAAAAATCAAACATTGAATGAATCAAAATAGATAGAGGTCAGACTGGACAAAGGTGTTGGTGGATGGGGGAAGCAAGATGGAAAACAAACACATTTGTTATGAATTTTAATATTTTGCCTTTTGTGCACATAAAATCTGATTACAGATTGTCTCCCTCATTGAGGCTGGGC